TAATGCCCATTAATGCCCTAGTCATGCATACTTCATACCGCTTATTATAATACACAATTCTCTTAAATAATGCCCAGTAATGCCCCAAATTTGTACATCGTAATGCTCTTAGCGGTTTATCTCTTGTTTTCAACGTGTAAGCAAAAATACCTTTTTCATAATTTTGTTAACTTTAATACTAAATAATTGGGTTCTCAATTGACCGTATTTTTACGAAAATAAATTCAACAAACTCATTGAATATGAAGTATCACGATTTGGTCCTCGAGAAGTACGTTTAACGAGCTCGTGAACAAGAAATTGTGGCACAAATACACGATTTGCGATTAAATATTGCATTCGCGATGAGTTTCAAAATTCTTTAATTAGCATGCGGAACTGGTCTCTCACATCTTAAGCTTTTCAGACTCAGAATTCGAATTCTCTGCGTTCCGAATGAGAAGGCTGATTTGCATAAAACACGGTCTCGGATAGTTACACGCATTTTGCGAAGATCCGACTTCTCGTTTTAGAAGTACACCAAAAGCAATTCGAACAGAAATCGAAGCGAAGCCTTGATTACCAGCGTGACTAACGAGACTCCGTTCTTTCTCGGAAAACGCGAGAAGGGCTGTTCATTCGGTCGGTCGTTCATTCGTTCGTTCGGCCCTATCTACTGAGGATCGATTTAGCAACGGCTTGGCTACCGTGCCTCACCGATTTCCCGACAATGAGAGATCGATTTCACATTTGTAATCGGGCGAGCATCGTGTCAACTTCTATCCCTACCGTTCGCCCTATCTGCTCTTAAAAAAAGAGATAGAAAATAGCATAACGATACGATCGAAACGAAGAACCCGACAGAAGCTATTGTAGCTTGCACGTAATCACCAAAGTGAGAATTCAGGTCGCGAAAAATGAAAAGGGCGGGAAGAGGGAGACAAAGAGAAAAAGCATGCACGTGGATGCGACGATCTGTGGTGAGTGCCATCACACGAACGAGAATTTCCAAAATATTCGTAAAAAATCCAGATCAAATCATATTCTGCCAAAAACGTCACGTTTCTATGCATAAACAAACAATGCGCAAATGCGCGCCGCACCTGTTTTGCATTTAAAAAAAACACGTATATAACAGTGTAAAAAAATTGTACGGTTTCAACTATTTTAAAATGCAATATCTCGATGCAGTGTATAGCTAAATGTCATATTTTATGTAAATACGTGAAATATACATAAATTTATATGTTTTATTGATTCGAGATATAGCTAGTTGCACGCGCACACGGATTATGCGTAGGAGAACGTTGCGAGTTGCGAGGGATAAGCACGACAGGGAACACAAGGACAAATATTTGCTGCAATATATTAGAGATTGCGAGTAGGTCATTTCGGGACTACGGCGCACATATGTATGTATATACAACGGAATATACATATATGCATACAGACGCAATAGAAGCTCCATAACTTAATACACGCTGTCTCCTGCACGGATAGGATAACGTCACGAGACGCATTGCTAAAAGATAGCTGAGTCGAAGCGCATTCTTCGTCTCGCGCCATCGATGTCATTCCGAATCCGGCATCATATAAGAAGCTTTGATGTAAGGAAAGTTATGTAATACGCCGTCTACACATGTAATAAGCGGAACGAGAAATTCCAATCGAAAATACCGACGCGAAAGAAATTGTTTGAAGAGACGCACTGGACGATGGACAATGAAAATTTCTGTTGTGTTTATATCGCGCGCAAAGTAATCATAACAATTTTTATGTAAACATTTAATCGAATATTGATAACGAAAATAATATAATAGAAATGGATTTTAAAATCATACGCTGTAAAGTCCTGCTATTGTTTTATTTCGCTCGTTGCATGCATGATGTCCGTAGGTGTGAACCGGTGTGAACTATAAAATAACAAACACCATTAAATAAGCAGATATACCTATATACGTTACTATATGTACATACGAGGGACGGTAAACAGCGGCCAAAATTTTGAAAGTACCAATTTAAGCCCGCGAGCGTAATGCCATATTTCGAAGTAAATTCAATGGAAATCATAAAGTTCGACGAGCTAAGAAAATAACTAATTCGTTTATAGTTAATGTAATTTTACGATTATGTATAATACGATAATTTTCTCATTTCTGTTGAATAACAATTTTATATTACGATAAATGTCTAAAGTTAATTACGTGGAGTTGCAAAAATATATATTTTTGCATAAAAATATTTTTTGATATTCAGATTATATTTATAATTTTGCATATTGCTAAATCTATAGTGTCAAATTTAATCTAATTTAAGTCGCCATTACTCCTATTTAATATATCGTTAAAGTTAATTTGATACTATATATTGTAAAATTTGTGTTCATTGTTTTAGTATAAAATAATGATATATTGAATAGGAGCAGTGGCAATTTGCAGTTAAACTAATAGCGTTTTCCACTGAGAGAATTAGTGCAACACTAATGCATATTGAGTGCAACTTTATTGTCTCACTGTGAAAACCAGTTCACATATTTTTAGTGTTTAATGTTCCATTGATAAAACTGGTGCAAAAAATTTGCACTGAGTTTAACTTTTTTTCCACCGTCTTTGAAATCAGTGGAGACCAGTGCAAGTTGAAATTGAAATTGTGTTCGTGCTAAGGTATGATATTACAATATTCTAATTAATGTCATACCAATGACATTGTGTTAGTTTCAATGTTTCTAATAATAGCTACGCAATGACATTTTAACGTTTAAAATTCCTGAAATATAAAAAATTAATTTTAAAAAATGTTTTAAATAAATAAATGAAAACATTATAAAATAAGTAATTTAAGCTTGAACATAGTTATACATATTTTTAGGGGTGTTATAAAATGGATGTCTTATGATATGTTCCATTGAGCCGCACTAAACCTGCACTACTACAGCACTAATGCAATTTTCATCGAAACCTAGCATGGCGCTGGTGTTGCACCAGTTTTCTCAGTGGAAAACACTACAAGTTAAATTTGACACTGCAGATTTAACAGTGCAGCATCGCTGTAATAAAACTACTTAATCCTGGAAATACTATTATTGATACAATTTTAGATAGAAGTGAACGAAATCATTGAGCACTAAACTACCTTCGGTGGTCACTAGAAACTTTATTTGCCATACAATAAGTAATTTCAATTTTTAAGCCATTTTGTATGTATTATTACTTTGTATTATTATAGATTTTATTTAACTGTATAAAGAAATACATACGCAACAATTGAATTACATATTCCATCATTTCAAGACTAAATTAAATAATGTGTTTCTCTTTTTCTTTTTAACAATTAGGTTATTTGTGTTCATAAAAATCCGAGTAAAAATCTAGATTATACATATTTTGTCATTAAAAGTATAAAACGTATGAAAAACTTGTGTTACAGTAATTAAAAGTGATTTATTTCTTTGTCAAATTTACATTGATACATACATAGCAATACTGTATGTTTCAGTGATAGCATTCTACAGTTAAGTAAACTTTGTCGATCACACGAATGTAACACGACGTGATTCGAAATCTTTTCTATCAGCTTTATTTAGGTTTTTTTTGGAGACTCCACCAATTGAATACTTGAATACCTTCAAAGGTTACTAACCGTATTGTTTTTAGAATGTACCTACATGTATTCTTTTTAAAATCGTAAATTGCTAATCATTAATTAAAATTTTATATCAAATAGTATATCATAATTATCAAAATTATTTCAATAAGAACTATCAATAAAAATTATGTTCTAGAAATTCTATTAAAAAATTTTATATTAATAGGTATATATTTTTAACACAGAAAAATTATACTCCTTCCGCGCTCTCAAATTATCATCTTTTTTTACAAAATATACATATCGCTCATTTGCTACAACAATAACACAAAAACAAAATTCCAGAAATTAAATTTGAATAAATGTTTTCAACCATTCAAATATTTTGTAATATTAATTTTAAAATGCAATTTTGGTGTAATAATTGATTAGAGAAAAATTCAAATATGTTATTTTGAACTATGTTTTTTCTTTCTTTTTTATGTTTCCATTTTTTTTTTGCAAAAATGACAATTTTTTGCAACTCAAAAGTGACAATTTTTTAATTATATCCTTATTGTAGAAAAAAAGCGACATACTCTTTACTTGAAATACAAATATGGTAATCCTATTTCCAACCCGTCTATGTAACCCATTTCTGTAACTGTTAACAATATCGGTATCATTATATTATCCAGGGCTCGATAAAATAACTAATGATTTATTTAAAAAATAAAAAATATATAATAAGTTTCAAAAATTTATTTAAAATAAAATTGTAGGGAGTTGACTGATACAACTTATTTAAAATAAAAAATATAAAATACGTTCCGAGAACTTATTTAAAAATTAAATAAGAAATAAAAGTCAGAGGGAGTTATTTAAAATAATAAATACCAAATAACTTTTTTATTTAAAAATACAATTGTTAAATAACTTTATTTTAATACGATCGAGCCCTGATAATGCCATCGCACAGATATATGTAAAAAAGCAACGACACTTCAACGAAACCGAACTGTCGTTAAAGGCGAGAGCAAAAAGTCTTGCATAACGCATAATGCATAAGAAAATGAACCAATCAAAGTCCTTCATTTCTTTCGTTTCCATGAAATAAAAGACTCTGATTGGATGATTTTCTTATGTTTTATGCATTACGAGTTACGCAAAGCTTTGTGCTCCAACCTTATTGAGCTTTCTACAATCGGAGTACTAAAATTATACGGCACATTGTCAGCTTTAGATTACGAAAGAATGCAGATATTATGTCAACGATGTTCATTTCAAAACAAAACGATAACACTACATAATTGATCGCGAAAGCAGCAAGAACCGTTATCGTTCATTCACGTTCCCACAATTTGAAAAACTCTCGTCTCGCAATCACGCGAATGAATGATTTCACGACGGTTGTTGCGCAGAGATAAGATCTCGTGTCGAGACCTTGAAGCACTTACTCGATCGATGTCGCGCGTTCCCGCGTCCCAGGCTGCTGTCCTGATTCCAACTACGAGACTGCTGCCGCTCGAAGTTCGTCCCGTCTATCTTGCCGAGTCTATCGTGCGGTCTCTCACGACAATGCGACGGGTTAATCGAATAAATCGCAGTAACGAAATCGAGCTAACGAAAGCGGGTGCGGAGCACGAGCCGCACGACGCAACCTCTTCGAATCTGCCGCCGCTCGCGCGCGCCTTTCATCTGCACACGACGGCGACTGGCGACAGTGACACACACTCGCAAGTCGCACGCGTTTGAATCGCGCAGTCCTCCTCGCGCACCTCGGATTCCTTACGCGCCCCGTCACGTAAACATGACCGCGCGCGTAAACAAGAGTCAACCGAACGCGATTCCGGGAAACCGGCCGTTATTTCCCTTTTTTATCGCGCCCGAGAACGAGATCGAGACACGGCGTTTCGGGAAGAATCGGGACCACTCGACCGTCATCGGTCGCGCGACGCCGGCTTCGTCTCGTCTCCGATCAAGTCGATCACGTCGCGCGACAACTTCATGTTTCTCGGCGAGCTCTCGTCCTTGCGAGCGCAAGATCGTGGACGATATTCTGCCCACCCCGAACGCACGTAATCACGATAATCACGCACGCACCCACACAACACACACGCACACACGAAGAGACTTCTCACTTGCGTTTCACGAATCCCGGAGCGAATTCACGATACCGGCTCGGAGAGAACGACCTAACCCGGCGCCAACTTCAACGCGTTGCTCCCCCGCGGCGTTACGCCGCTCGACGTCCACATGTGACCGCGCCGAAACTGGGCCACTCTCGCGCACACGTCTCTTCCCTCCCCCTCTCTCTCTCTCTCTCTCTCTTTCACCCCCTTGCCGAATCTGTCTCTCTGTGTCTCTCTAGCTCTTGGAGAATCGAAGCAACGCACGGCACGCGCGCGTCGCACAGCGCGACGAGGCGCGTTGTTCTCGCGAAGGAACGGTAAACGATATATCTCGAAACTTGGCGACGGCCGAGTACGTCGCGGAGCGAAAAAGCGCGACACCTCAACGCTGGCGAATCGGCCCGGTAACTGAGTCTAGCGGTGTAGGGGAGGGTAGCGGCGTACGGAGCAGAGGTGGGGCGCGCGAGGGCAACCGCGAGCGAAGATACACCCATGCGACGCGCATGCGCCTCACGCAACGTCCTTGTCTGCCGCTCGCGCGCGCTCTCGCTCAGTCTCCCTCGCTCTCCGTTCGACTTCGTTGCTCCATCCGTTCGCTCCCTTTCCCTTCCCTTTCTCGCACCCTACCAACCTCGCTCTCGCTCTCTCTCTCTCCTCATCTGCTACCCTTCGCATCTATGCGCCGTATCACCCGCGCGTCTACCCGCGCCACTTTCTCTCTCTCCTCTTCCCGCATTCCTTTCTCTCTCCCGTCCATATCCTTCGCGTTCCCGTTATTTCGCGCGCCCGTTCGTTTTCTCCCTCTCGCGTGCCCTCTTCCGTGTGCCAAGTTTCCTCATTCCTCCCGCGTCTATTCGTTTCAACCGTTGTTTTCTCCTCTCTCGTTCTTTTCGTCGCGCGTTCGTCCCTTTTCTCCCTTATTTTTTTCCTTCGTTTTCTTCTCGCGCAGTTTCGCCTTTTTACTCCCTTTCTTTCGTACGTATCTTTTTCTACTTTTATATCTCTTCTACTTCCCATCTCTCTCTCTCTCTCTCGCACGCGCGCGCGCGATCGCAGTGCCGCCTTTTCTTCATTTTAACCTACTCCACCTACTCTAACCTTTTCCTCTCGTCTAACATTCGTCTCCAATTTTCCTCCTTCACCCCGTTTCTATTATATCCCCGTCCAACGGACTTGCTCGTGTAACGGCTTCCTTACTACGATACTCGCCTTCATCGTTCGCCATTATTTCGTCGGAGCACTGTTAACTGTAACATCGCAAAACGATAAATTAATTTGTTCGCGTAGCAACGATGGCCGCGAGCGTTTTCATGGCGTTCCAATTACGAGTTCGGCGTTACGTTAGGAAGAGCATCCAGAGATGTCCATTACGGTGCATAATTGCAGAGAGCGAAGAGGTAAGTGGATCAAGTTGTTATAGCTACATCGCGTCTCCTCGAGAAGGACTCCGTCCGTGTGCATTTTTTTTCCCCGTTCTCACGCCTCTTTGAGATGAATCGACGAGGGACAAAATCGATTATTAATTAATGCGCTACACGTAGCCATGCATATTCATTTTCATAATTTGTGTGAAAACTTTAAGTCAATATACGTATAATGGGAGCTCAGAACTGTAAATCTGTTTCAGACAATCTATTATATAATAATTTAATTATTTCTAATATAATTAACTATAACAATTATTCATAATAACTTGTAATTTGCGTTAAATTTGAAGACAGAATTTCTGTTTATAATTTTACATGAAATATGTATTTCATATAATGTAATCATTTTAATATAATATACAGGATGTTCGAAATATATATATCATATCATTTAATTATTTTATTAAATTTGTACTTGTAGAGTATATTGGTTTTTAAATATGTGTGTGAACAAATTCTGTAGGTACTTCGTGGAAATTCTGTTAGGTGTGGCATCACCAGTCGGAATTGGGCGGAGATGAAGGCGTATATATTAGTTTGTGAAATGCAATGTGACGCACGAAATGTCATACCATATGCTTTACATATATTTATTTTTAACAGAAATGATGCAAACTGGAATAAAATTAATTACCACCGCCTGTTTCTAAAAAAATCGTCTCTAATGGATAACATTTAACATGACCATCGTTTTTCCTCACAACTTCTTAGAGACGCGCCCTTGTATTTGGCTATTTTTCGACTCAAGTCTTTAGACAAAGCACAACCGCACAATGTGGGCGGAACCGAGTCTCTGCCACACTCTTTGTTTCCGCGAAAAACAATACAACTTTCGCTTTATGCGCAACATAAATTTGAAACCAACCGTCTGTTCACCATTTCACAAACTGATGTATGCGTCTTCGCCTCCATGCAGTTGTAACTCATAATATAATATTACAGTAACGGAATTTCCACAAGGTACAGAATTTTCTGACTCTCAATTAAAAAATCAATACTTTACAAGTAAAAGTTTCAATGAGATAATTAAATGGTATGACATTTCGTGTGCCATTCTCTATATATGCAATATGCATTCAAAGTATTTAAATATTTTTCGTATTACGCGAAACTATAAATTCATTTTATCTCACATTCTCCGAATTATATTCTTTTATTCAATATACAATGAACATTCAATTTTCAACGTAGATATTAATTGAATAACTCGGCAGATTCGTATATATATAGAATAACACTACAGTAATAATACTTCGTAACATTTATCGTAATACTTTATGAACGACATTAATATATTTCACAATTTCGCCTATGTGAATTCTAATTTATATTTAACATACTCTGTTAAATATTTTCTGAAAAGATGGAGAAGGAGAGGGGGCGGAAAACATTTGCACGCAGACGTGGAGGAAAGCATTTTATAGCTTTGATCTCGGTTACAAACGACGACTTCCGTAAATGGAATTTTAATACGTTCTGTACGAAGATAAAACGCTTACGGGACTGTATATACTTTCGATGATGTTCCACCTCGACGTTCTCGTGCATTCGTATTTATATTTTATAATACGTATCTTACGCCACACTAGTAATATCTGAGTAAGCGAGGTATTACTTGGCCATGGCCAGCATCGAGAGACACAGAGAGACAGAGAGAGAGAGAGAGAGAGAGAGAGAGAGAGAATGGAAGAGAAAAAGAGAGAGAGAGGAGAGAAATCCATTCGCTTTGATCTCGGTTACGGACGACACAACAGATGGAATTTTAATATACCTTTTAAAGGTATAAATTCTTTACCAGAAAATACGCAAAGCAACTTTTTGGCGACGCGTTAACTCGATTCGTGTTCTCGTGTCGCGTCATCAAGTAACAGCTAGTCGCAGTTCTAATTTACTAAACACTACACGCAAATTGCGTGTAGCTTCTCTTTCTAGCTTCTCTCAAGTTTACATGGTTCGCTTCATACATTGGCTTGCGATTAATTATTCACGTCTGCTTTTGCCTTTCGATATTTCGAGAAATAGGAAGTTTCTCTGGCTCCTTTACCTGTGTCGTGCCAAACTGCTCGAAATAGCTATTGACATCACGTAATGTTTGGAACATGGAATCGATTAATGCCACTCTGGTACGTGCACCTCAACGAAACTGACATTTATTATGAGAAAGCCGATGCATGGACGTACCATATCGTATTCAAACGAGAGAGAACGAATTGACGTACGCGAAAAGTTCGTGTTTTTCTCTTTTGAGAAACTTGCGTGACATTTATATAATACCATCCAAAAACAAACGCTGCATATTCTATCCAAAGTTAATTAAGATGTTATCAAGTTTGAGAAACGTGTCTCTTTAATTCTCGTCTCTTTTATTCAACTCTTAATTAATTATCACTAGGTATTTAAAAACTAAGAAGCATATTTTTAATGGAAAGCTTTCTATAAAAGTTCTTTCTAAATAAAGATATGAAAGTATTTATTACTGAAGGTAAAAGGAGAAATCAGTTGTCTTTATAATTACATTTAACGATATTAGAATTGATTTGTGATTCATTCAGATGAATCTCGGTTCCATGTAGACGTTTGACCGAACAGAGCGAGCAAAGTTAGTTATTACACGTCGCTTCACCCAGTCCAACTATGCCGACAAACTTGTCTTAACTAAACACGATGGCCAAATGTGATATATGTGTTCGAAACACATACATATCTGTCATATACGGGACAACGCGCGCGCGCACGTGAGTTATAACAATGATCAGCTCGTTATCAACATGTCGGACCGAGAACCACAATAGGGCCCCGACCGGCAGTGGTGCTTTGCGTTGTCGTGTGGTTGTTGTGTCACATATATGAGCATGATAATCGTAATACAACCGGATGTATGCAACAGCGACAAGTCCGTGCGTCAGTCGTGAGCTCGGCGAGTATTGACGTCTATTAAATTGGCACAGCCACTGCAGCACAACCGAATAAAACATACTCATAAATTTAGTCTTTTTTATTGCTTTAGCCGATTTAACAAAAATAGTGGCTGTGCTAACTTAAATTTATAGTTTGCAGTTTAACACAACCACAAAAATGTCAAAACGTAAATAACGAAACATATTTCTTTGGTATTTCGTTGCTAATCGAGTTGCTCCGCTGCCAAAATAGTTAAACCTTACTTTTGATTCAGAAAAATCATCCCCCAATTATTTTATATTAAAACGTTATGATATAATTTTATAAATATTTTAATGAATTATGTACTTTTTTTATTTTATTTTTTGATATTTTGATTAAAACTGAGTTTCTTACTTCAGTCTTAATCTCCAAAAATTTCTAGCTACTTCACAGCATAACAGATTTGCAAATTCAACAAAAATCTCCATAGATTATATTCTGATTTTGTAATTTAATATTTTGATTCATTTCAATCTTATTGCTCTATCCCTAACCTTTGAAAATTATTCTCTGTAAAAGTGAATCAGTGTTTTATTACTGACTTGAGTGCTACACTTATAACTGTAATATCAGTGAATATTCACTGTTTTTCAGTGATAATCTGATTCATTTTTAGAAGTTATAGTTTCTACAGATTGAATCTGCAGAAAATTATAACCTCCAAAAGTGAATCAGTGTATTAATTACTGAAAAATAGTAAATATTCGCTAATGATTATGTGGTGTGATTTATTGAGTAAATATTTAATTCTTTGAACAGTATTAGCAATAAGTAAACATTTAAGTGTGGGCAATAGTGACCACCGAGTTTTCTCTTCCTTCAGAACGCACGTTCGATCCCGATCGATTTCTCTCAAAAACTGACTCGCTCCGGCTCGCGAATCTCGCGATTCCGGGGCATGGTGCCCATGGTGGAAGCGATAACATGGTGAAAAGAAAGAGAACACACTTTATGTTTCTTTTTCTGTAGAAAGAGAAACATAAAGTGTGTTAAACAAGGAAAGATTCATAGTACCAATTTTACG